AATTAATGTCATTTCACAGATTATAAGATTAATGAGCCTCCTTTCAGGAAGGAAAGCAAAATGAGAATTCAGCTTTTGTTTGGATTATACATTCAAAAGAAAAATGAGAGTAACATAGGAGCCACAAATTAGCATGTAAACGCTCTAATGATTTCACTTAATAGTAGAAAGGCTTGAAATAAAATTAAGTTATTGTTGATGATGATGATGATGACAGCAATTTAACTGAGCATAACATACGGCCCCCTCCCCACCTCCGCCAGAATGATCAATCATCTTTCTAGGCACCTCCCAAAAGGCTCTATAGGACCATAAAATGTGGCTCTTACCGGCTACTCAGGTCTGATTTCCATCACCAAGTAGAAATACTGCCTTTCAGAAATAATTTCATTATTCTGGGAGTAGCTGAAAGACAGCAAAGGTGGTAGGAATCTTTCTGAGCAGGCTGAGTCTTGCTCGTGCTGGGTCTCCTGGGTCCGTTACAGCAGCCGTTCGCAAGCCTGTTGTATGGAGAGTCAGCACTCAGCCGGTGGCCTACGAATGACCACCAAAGCATTAAGTGAGCATGAACACTCAAAGGCTTAGCAGAAGTTGCACACATAATGCATTAGTAATCGAACACACACTGTGTACAGTTGTAGCTAAACCTTATCTCATTTTATCTTTGCAGTTAGGATATTGCTTATCCCAATTGTATAGAAAAGGAAACTGAGATTTATGCATGCTAAGTAGATTCTCATGCAACTCATAAATATTTGAGCCAACATTCAAACTCAAACTATGCCCAACACTGGTGCGCTTTATGAGTGATTTTAAAATGAAAGGAAGAAGGGTGATTTTTAGATGAAGTATTGCTGAAGTTACCTGGAAACACAAAAGTACGTCTGGCAAAAGACAGAGCTATATCGAATCTGTTTTCTGACATAAAAGTATTGTAACAGTACATTGGTTCTCTATGGCTGCATGACAAAGCACACTGAAATTCAGAGAAACTAATCCAGTGAGTGTTGATTACTGCTCATGCATTTGTAGCTCAGCTGGTGTTCTTCTGGTCCTGCCTGTGGGAGAAGGGCAGTTCTACTTTGCACAGAGGCTCTGGGAAGGGCTGGGGCAGCTTTGCTTCTGACTGTGGTGGTAGGCATGGCTGTGCCCCACAGGAACCCCGCCTTCTTCCTGGGAAGGAGCTCGCTGGGCTACGCCCCTCACATGGTGATAGGAAAGCTGCGGGAGGCCTTGTGTCACATCTGGGCTGTTCACCTGACCACACCAGGATTCAAGAGCTAAGGAAACTTTACTTTGGTACTACAGTTAGGGCAAAATAAATGATGTATCATTTAGTGTGATTAAAGAAGCATAACCACTGTGCAAGGCACAGATTAAAATGCTCATCGTAAAGATTAAACCTTAGAGAAGCCCACATAAGACTGTGGCCTCTGTATTGGAAGTGTGAGCCGAGGTTATCAGGGTCAGGATTTTGGATGTGAATGAAGGCAAGGACCAATACAGAGCCACGTCATTCTCAAGCTGTCCACAAATACAAAGTCATGGGTGACTCGCAGGGAGAAACTGATATATTTGCTGGTGTGGCCAAGGAGCTGTTCATAAGGTACAGCTCAGAAAAAGAGGATTTCCAGCAGGAGCTGAGCTATGGGGCTGACCGGCTGGCTACTGCTCTGTGCCGACAAGGAGAACCAGCCAGTCAGAAGGAATATGTATGACTTGCAGTGGCGGGGCCTTCCATCCAGTTTCAGAACAGAAAAATGGCTGCCCATGTTCCTGCTCCAAAGCATGTGTATGTTTCTCTTGTGAAAAACTTGATCCAGGACCAGAGAAGAGCATTTTGGGAAATGTAGTCCCAGTTTAGTCAAACTGACACAGCAAAGTAGCCACATACAAAAAGAACGTATGGACTCCAGAAGGAATGAAACATTGGACAAGTAATGCAGAGGACCACACAGCACACCTGTAGAGGAAATGAGTCAGTGTACAAGAGGGAGACACTACCAATGCTTGTTTATTGAAACCCAAGATCTCCATCAACTTTGTCCTTCATCAACTTTGTGAATCATGCTCCTCCTTTCCGAAGAAGTTAATACCGTAAATGTGGATTCTAGTGGGGCCACGAGACAGAATGGGGCAGGTTAGATGGTAAAATTATAAGAAATATGCCCATAGGAAGAAGATCATAGTGATCTCTGACAATTCACATTGTGACTGCTATTTTTTTCAAAAGAAATAAAGGTGACCTAGGGGAGAGCTGCATAGAGGCAGCTAGAGAAAGTGAGGCAGAAAAATCTTAAAAGATAATGAAGTGATAAACCACTGAGGAAAGAACATTATATTGGGGTCTGGGGGTGGGTGCACTATTTCTCACAGACTGCAGCTGAGTATACAACCCTCAATAAATTAGCATATCTCAATGTCCTTATCTGTGAGTGCAAGCATTGGACCAAATAAATCTCTGGCTACCTTGTGTGTCGGATGAAGCAAGTAAGACTTGGGACCCTATCACTGCTTTGCTCCGACTGACATGCCACCATGTCCCTCTGGTTCATGTGTGCAGTGTGTGTTTAGACTTCAAGGGAAGGACAGATGTTGATTTAAGGTCATGTAATCTGAATTAGGTACCCAAGTAATGTATTCTTCTAGGAGGTCTTCCCCAACTTTGATTAGTACAGCTTACCTTATTCGTGTTCAGGCTTCTTTCTAAGTCACAGGTGGGTGAACATATAGCTCTACTCTGCTCCTTTGGAATAAATCAATTGTTCAAAACAAGGAATTTTGCTAATTCTTTCTTCCTGGATGTGGCAGATATAAATCACACAATGTGACAAGAAAAAGGATGGTTATAAGGTGTTAGAGGGGAGGAAAGGAATTGAAGTGACGTAGTGGAGGGGGAAGGGGGAAATCTTTGCAAAACAACAGCTTTAGAGTGAGGAGTACAACACAAAGGATGATATATACCTCTCTAGCTGGAACAATTTTTTTTTTGGTTGAAAGGTTTTAAGAGCAGGGAATGCATATGCCGCTCCTTTGGATTAAGGATTAAGAGCTAGTATCTATATAAACTTAACTCCTATCCCAAGGAGCCACCATAGTAGATAAATAAAATGAACAATGTTGGTTATGCACTGTCTATGGAGCAGAAGTGTTTCCAAATGACCTGGAAGCTACCCTGGATTACCCGGGCAATGCACACTAGGGTAAAGGATCCCCTTCCTCCCAGTAGAAAGGGTACAATCTAATATCAGCTTCATTTAGAACTAAGACTTTTGGCAAAATAAAAAGCCATTTCCTCCCCAGAACTAAAGAAGCTGCCTTTTGCACACAGTTGTAATAAACAGCTGGCATCCCAAACCTGGACTGCTTGACAGTAAATATTCTTTATTCCTTTACACTCACTATGATAATAGGAATTGGAAAGTCAAAAAGGGGGAAGGCTACTTTCTCTGAAAGAAAACCCACATGGTGTCTAGCAGATGTTCAGACTGTATCTAGGTTTGCCAGAAAATATACCCTAAGACCCAGTTAGAAGGACAAGAAATTTGTCTCTGGTTTATATCTAACCCTGCACCCACAGTTTCATGTATTTAGAGGGGCAGCTTTTGAAAGTTGATTGGATTATGAGGGTGCTACACCCATCAGTGTATTAACCCATTGATGGGTTCCGTAGCTGAATGTGCTCTTAGGAGGTGGGGCTTGATCTGAAAGGGTGTGTTACTGTCTCTAGGCCCTCCTGTCGCTCTGGCTCTTGGCTCTTCTAGGCTGAGCAGCTGTCCCCTGCCATGCCCTTCTGCCTTGCAGTTTCTGCACTGGAGCCAGCGAACCATAGACTGAATCCAGTGGGAACTGTAAGCCAAATAAACCTCTCCTCTTTTAAGTTGTGGGTGTTGAATACTGTATTTTGTTCTAGTGATAAGAAAGTGACTAATATAATTCTGTGAAAAATAAGGGGAAATGAGGAAGAGGAAGAAGAGAAAGATTTCAGACCTCTCTGTGGTTATAAGCCCTGTGACAAGAGAGAAGAAAGAGGCAGATTTAGAAGGAAGCACCTCCGATGCTGCTGTCATTCTGAGATCGTCTTGGCCAGTTTAGTGTGGAAGGGTCAGCATAAGATCGTTCATAGAGCAGTTCCATATTGGGCAAAAGTGGGCAGACCCTCCTACCCATATGATAGTCGGTGTGCGGATAGGAGCTGCTGGAGGAGCCCCTATCAGCCAACTACCTGTACTCTTGTGGCAGGTCTCTCTTGGGGTGAGATCTGAAAGGGCTGCCTCCCTGATGTTGGTAAGCCCTTCAATGGGATGATGAAAGGCTTAAGTGCAATAGGCACTTCCATATTACTAATCCTGCCCTTGTGAGTTTTCCTTTTCCTGAATAAAATCTATTCCTTAACCTTCACTACGACTCCTGGTTGAACTCTGTGACCATGGAATTTTGTGCATGAATGGGTTGAAAGTGGGAGAGCGATGTACTTACCATGTTGTAATTAACTCAAATAGGAAAGCTTCTGTTCCTCATTGCCTTTCTATCCAGAGGCCTCTGTAGTAATTTTGCCGATGGTAGGAGAAGTGTTGCAGAGCATGTTTGTGCCTACAAAAAACAGTGGTCAGCTGAGGTCCTTGGGCTTTAAAATTAATATTTCACAGAAGTTGCTCTTCAATACATGTAGATTCAATTGAATAATAGGCTTGTGTTTTTAGAAGCCATAAAGATGATCAATTTCAGGGAAAGGAGTTTTATTATTGGGGGGGCTTCCAGGGATTGAACTCAAACCACAGAGCTAGATCCCTGGCCTGGAAAGGACTTTTATTTAAGTATAATTTGAACAGAATCTATACAAGCAGTAGAGTGGGTAGGTTTCCATTGTGTTTGGAAGGGCAGTGTTGCTCATATTCTCTAAGAATAAAGTCGAAAAGACTCAAGAGTGTCATAATGGTTATTGTTGCAAAGCAGCCTTTTAAAAGAGATTCCAGAAAATAAGAGGAGTTCTACTTGTACAGATTGTAAGCAGGCTGTGTAGCAACAAGGTACATTGCTCCACCTGTCCCCCACGCTATATTTGAACCCTGTACTTGGTGTTTAACTTGGTGTTTCCCTGTCCTGTTATAACTCTCTTGTATATCCCAGGATCTAGATGTCTGTGAGTTAGTTTACAGAATCTTTGTTTTAAGCTTTATGGATATTATTAGTGTTCTGTTAATTAAATTCACTTACACAAAACTGGGAGAGAAGTGGAAGCCCTCTTCTTTTTCCTGTAATAGTAGGAGTAGATGAATATAATGGGCTTTGCAGATTTTTATTTGAATTTTTGTTTCTTGACTTCTGACTTTTTCTGATAGTCATGTGACACAGAGCTGCAGAAGAGCTAAGAAGGTAGCAGTACTTCCATCATGTTATTGGTCCCTGGGTAACAGCAGCATTTTTCCGACTCATGGCACTAGTTGTATTGGTGAAATGGCATCTACCACCTGCTTCCTCCCTGGAATGTCTCCAGCCCTTTTAAAGTTTTGTGAGTACCAAATTATTTGTATTAATTTGCCTAGCAATACATTGTCTTAGTCTGTTTTCTTTTGATTTAACAGAGTACCAAAACTGGATAAATTTTAAAGGAAAAACATTTATTTTGGCTCATGACTTTGCAGGCAGGGAATCCAAAGAGCATGGAGCTAGTAAGGGTCTTGTGCTGCTTCAACTCATGGCAGAAAGCATAATGGCCAGCAGGCATGTTGGGGGCAGAGCGGGCTCAGCCTCAGTTTCTAGCAACCCAGGCCCACCGTTAACTAATCTAGTGCCAGGAGAGTGAGAACTGCCATGATGACAAGGAGATTTCAGTGCGTTTTGATAGAGGCAAACCATGTCCTAACTACAGCATGCTCCAACTAGATACAGTCCTCTGAGTGGTAGGAAACTATCCATTATGTCTTCCCTTGAAAGTTCCCATCCATTTGTTGCCCATCTCCAGAAACTCATAGAACGTTAAATCTGGGGCAGCCATGGCTTCCTTAGGTTGAGCACAATTCTCTGATTCATAATGTCCCTTTCATGTAATCTTCTCACTTGTGAACACCCAGAATTAGTGGTCCTTCATCTCCATGACAGTTTTTCCCATATTTAAAATGGCTTTCCATCTCCCTCTGTCACCTAACCACCTGCCCAATATTCTTTTCTTCAGGCAGAGTGATCTTAATCTCTTTGTGAGCTCCTCAGTATCCTCCAGCCTTCAGAGAATGGATTCTTTAGCAATTCATGTGAGAGACTCTTTGAATTTAAATATTCCCTATATACTTTAGCCAATGCTTGAAATTTAATGTTAGAAACTGAGTCAAGAATAAAATGGCCCATAAGAATATTCAATTAAAAACTTAACTAAAATAAAGGTGGCAATCAAATGATAATATATAATATACAAAGGGCTCTTACAAGAGGATAATAAAGAAAAATAAATTAGAATAAAATACAAATATCTTCATAAATAACCAACAAAAGACACAACCCCAAGTAGCTGACAAATATGAAATAATATACCCAAATTCAAGTATTCAAGAGGAAAAAAAAAAAAAGAGATACTCTTTCAGATCCATTAGACTGAGAAAATTATTAAAAGAATAATAGTAATTTATAGTGGGAACCTGAATATATTTTATCTCTGCTTTTATGATGCAAAATGAAGTATTAACATGTTTTCTGAACATACAGTCTGGAAATATACCTATTTAAATAAAAATTACAGGCTCCTTTGACTTCAAAATTTCATTCCTGGAAATCTAGAAATATAACACCAATATATAAAAACATATTCATAAGGAGGTGTACTACAATGATGTTTGCAGAGAGAAAAACTAGAACAGAATATGAATGACCAAATATAAGAAAATTGATGTATCAACTATAGTAACCCATACCACTATTGGATTATGTGCTTATTTTCTTAAAAGGTTTAAGTTTACTGAACTCCTTTCTTTTCTTCCTTTCTTTTTTTATTTTTGGTATTGGGAATTGAACTTGGGACCTTCTGCTTTTGAGGCAGGTGGCAGCACCACTGAGCTAAATCCCCAGCCCTATACTAAATTTCTTTGAGGGATTCATATGGGATCATTGAGTGAGATAAGCAAGACATAACAAGGTAGTAGAATTTTCTTTTAATAAACTACGAATGCTAAGTGTGTATGTGGGGGGGGGTGTGAGAAAAAAGAGACCGAGATAAGGAAAGACAAAAGCACATGGAGATATATATTTACATACGTATTAATTCAACAATACTTGGGTGAAAAAACACTCTATGATCTATTGAAATGGCATTTAGGGAAGATGACAGAATAGAAGGGAGAAGAAATGACAGGAGAGAAATATTTGGTAGCAAAAAAGCCCAGCCCCCAAAGCTGAATATAAAGCTTGTACTGATGGAGTGAAATTTTTAAAATATCTAAATAAATGGAGATAATTCACATTTATGAAAATAAAAACTAAATTTGAAGATAATGATATACAGCATAACTATTGTTATTCTATTTTGTTATGAAATTTTGTTTTATTTTTTCAAGTATTAACTATTGTTATTCTATTTTGTTATGAAATTTTGTTTTATTTTTTCCTGAAATAAGAAAGAATTTAGTAAGTTTTTTCCAATTTTATCTGTTATCGACTCAATATAATCCTAATAAAAATCTTAACAACTTACGTTGTAGATATGAACTAATTGTAATATGTGGAAAAGCCAAAAATCCTAGATAGTTATACTGAGAAAAAAGAGCAAAGTTGGAAGACTGACACTACCTGACATTAAGACTTTCTATAACTATGGTAATTAAGGTGATGTGACACTGGTGAAATAATAGACCACTAAAACAATAAAACCAAAAGAGAGCCCAGAAATAGACATATGAAGATAGTCAACTGATGTCTAAAAAGAACAAAAGCAACTCAACGGAGAAAGAAGTCTTTTCAACAGCAATACTGAAAAAACTGGATCTCTGCATGTAAAAATTGAATCTAAATATAGACCACATACCATTTACAAAAATTAACTCCAAATGTACCACGACCTAATTGTAATGTGAAATGATACCAATTTTAGAAGATGACATAGGAGAAAAAAATCTAGACGATCTTGAGTCAATGATAATTTTTAGACATGATGTCAAAAGCAGGTTCCATGACCAAAGAAACTTGATAGATTGATTTCATTAAAATGAAAAAATTCCACACTCTGAAAGGCATTGTTGAGAGAATGGAAATGCAAACAAGAGATTAGGAAAACTATTTGCAGGATATATTCCTGATAAAGGACTGGTATCCCAATATATAACTGGTAAAGGATGTCCAAAATACTCTTAAAACTCAACAATAAGAAAATGAACTATCTATTGTGGTTTAAATGTTCCCCCAAATTCCTGAATTAGAAATTTGATGCCTGCTGTGAAATAGGATCCTTAGAGGAATTTAAAGAGGGTTGTGCTTTCGTGAATGGACTAATGCCATTAGTATGGGAGTGGGTTCATTATGATAAGGGTGAGCTTCTTACCAAAGGATGAGTTTGGCCTCTTCTTGTTCTCTCTCTCCCTCTCCTTCTTCTTCTCCCTCTCCCTCTCCCCGCACCTCTTTTTCTAGACATTCCCCTGTAGTGTGAATGTTAAATATCCCCTAAATGCTCATATGTTATAGACTTAGACCAGTAGGTGATGTTATTAGGAATCTTTTAACAGGTGGAAGGAAGGTAGTAGGGTAGGGAAAACAGGCATGCAGAGATTTAAACATTTGTCCACTGTCACATAAGAAATAAACAGAAGAGTTATGGGTTGAGATTTAAATTGAGGCAGTCTTCTTTAAGAAATTCCTGTTCAAATGGTGTGAATTCAGTTTGGCTGGAAAAAGTACACCAATCACCATCTGGCCAGAAGCTTTATTGTTTCATAAATAAGCAGTCTATGTACTTTGAGATGGTTAAAAGTTATTTCAAGAGTACTGCAATAAATATTTATCAAAAATAGCAATCATCTCAGTAATCGATAGACTTCTTCCATCACTAAAGACTTCCAGTTCTAATAGGCAGTAGGAAGTCCTGAGGTTACTGGAGACACTCCTTCGAAGGAGACTGTGGATACCAGCCTCTTTTACCTTGTTTGCTTCTTGCTGTGAGGTGAAATGTTTGCCTCAACACATACTCCCTGCCATTACCATGTGCCATTCCCACAAAGACTTCAAAGCAATGGGTCTGCCTGATCATGGACTGAACACTCTAAAATGATAAGCCAAAATAAACCTTTCCTTTTAATAAGTTATCTCCAATATTTATTATAGTGACAATAAATACAGATACCTTACTTACACCATGAGAGAGCACACAGAAAGAAAGCCCTCATCAGACATGGAAACCCAGTTTCCAGAATTGAGAGCCAATAAATTTCTTTTAATTTTAATGTACTTGGTCTAAGATATCTTGTTATAACAGCACAATATAAATGAAGACACCACCTAGTTTAAAAATAGGCAAAAATCTGAAACAGAATCCTAAAAAATAGTATATATTGAACACAAAGAAAGATACGGAAACATGCTCAACATGTCATTAGAAAATTGCAAATGAAAACAATGAAGAGAAACCACTACACAACTGTTAGATGGCAAAAACCCATTACAATGACAACCCCCAAATTGATGAAGATGTGGAATTCACATTTATTTATTCCTGGTGGGAATACAAAACCATAGGGAATACAAAAATATAGTCACTATTGAAGACAAGTCTGGCGATTTCTTACAAGACAGGGAGAGTTTTGCCATGTGATTCATTAGTCACCCTTGGTATTTATCCAGATGAACTGAAAAACGTATGTCCATACAAAAATCTACACACAAATGTTTACAGAAGTTTTAGTAATAATCAGTACCAACTGAAAGTAACTAAAATGACCTTCAGTAGGTTAATGGAGGAACAAACTGGTACATCAACACAGTGGACTATTACTCAGTGATAGAAAAAGCCAGAGTATCATGGCACAAAAGGATATATTGCTAAGGGAAAGAAGCCAGTTTGAAAAAGCCAACTATTGCATGATTCCAGCTATATGGAATTCCAGAAAAAGCAGAGCTACACAGAGCAAAAGCTCAGGGGTTCCTGGGGTCCTGAGGGAAGGGGAGGAAGAACAGGTAAAGCAGAATTTTAAGGCAGGGAAACGCTTCTGTATATAATAACATGTACTTGTCATTATTAATTAGAACCCATAGAACTGAGCAACACAAACTGTGAACCATTGCACAGCTGTGGGCATCAGTTAGTAATGTTTGGAGATTTGCATGTTAATTGTAGCACGCATGTCATGGCCATATGCGATAATAGGGGAAACCATGTGAGAGGAGAAGGGGAGCTTTATGGTACACGTGTGTTACATTTTTCTGTAAATTTACTTTTTAAATTAAAAAGCTTGTAGGCCAGCTGTGGTGGCTCATGCCTGTAATCCCAGCACTCAGGAGGCTAAGGCAGGAGGATCACTGTGAGTTCGAGACCAGCCG